GTGGGAAAGTACTATGGAGTTTACTCATAGTATTTTAATTAAAATTAAAACTGAAACTGCCTTTTGACCCAGTAATGCCACTTTTGAGAATCTCTCCAAAGAAACCCGAAACACCAATTCGAAAGAGTTTTTGCACCCCTAATGTTCATTTAGTGTTATTTACAGTAGCCAGGATTTGGAAGCAGCCTAAGTGCCCATCAGTAGATGAGTGGATGAAAAAGCTGTGGTAGCCCTCGCTGGTTTGGCTCAGTGGATAGTGGGTCAGCCTGTGGACTGAACGGTCCGGGCTTGATTCTGGTCAAGGGCAGGTACCTCGTTTGCAGGCTCAGTCCCTGGCCCTGTTTGTGGTTCATGTGGGAGGCAACTAATCAATGAGTCTCTCTCACATGGATGTTTCTCTCTCTGTCTCTCCCACTCCCTTCCACACTTTCTAAAGATATCAATGGGAGAAACAAAACGCTGTGGTACATTTGCACAATGGAATACTACTCAGTCATGATAAAGAAGGAAGTCTTACCTTCTGCAGCAGTATGGCTGAACCTTGAGAACATCATGCTAAGTGAAATAAGCCAGTCAGAGAAGGACAAGTACCATATGATTTTACTTATATGTGGAATCTAATGAACAAAATAAACTAAGAAACAAGACAGAAACAGACTCATAGATACAGAGAACAGACTGACAGCTCTCAGAAGGGAAGGGTTTGTAGGACTGGGTGCAAAAGGTGCAAGGATTGAGCAAAGAAAACAAACAAACAAACCTTGAAGACACTGACAACACTATGGTGGTTAGCAGAGGGAAAGGGGAATGGGGGAAGGTAGGAGAAAAAAGGGGGATAAATGGTGATGGGAGGAGATTTAACTTGGAATGGTAAACACACAATACAATGTGCATATAATACATAATAGAATTGTACACCTGCAACCTATACATTTTTGCTAACCAAGGTCACCCCAACAAATTCAATAAAAATTAAAAATAAATAAATTAATTAAATAAATACATTTGGTAGTGAAATTGAGAAATCAATTTCTGAAAATTTATATATATTCTAAACTTCTGGTGTTATTAGCTAGCTTAAGTAGTGGGTGAAATGTAGGCAATAATATCAGTGGCATAGTGCTCTTTCATGCATGCTATCATGAATGTTGAGAAATTATGAGCACATAAATGAGAACAGCTTTATTGGTTATGTGAAAAAAATTACAGGAGTTGGTTATAAAAATACTGTTTTGCTAAGTGAGACTTCAATATTTATTAGTTTTATTTTATTAAATTGGAGTAGTATTTTGATCCATATGGAATGCCTTTAAATATGCTAACTTTTGTTAATGAAGATGTGGAACTAGAGGTTTTATAGTACTGCATCATAGGTAGGTGGCAAGGTTTCTCAACTCTGGCACTAGTGAAATTTGAGCCACATAGTTCTTTCCTGGGAGTGCGGGAGGTTTTGCTGTGCATTAAGGGATGCTTAAGGGCAGGCCTGGCTTCTTCCCATGAGATGTCAGTGGCAAAATACTCCCCCACCCTTCAATTTAAAAAATATATTATTAATGCATAGCTCATATACAATATTATATTAGTTTTAAATGTACAGCATAACATTTCATTATGTACCTTAAAAAGTTACCACCACCCCACCCTCCAATTTTGAAAATCAAAGGCGTCTCCAGACATTACCAGATGTTCATGTTGAGAACCACTGGTCTGTGCTCATACAGACACGCACTCCAGACCTGCCCACAGACCAAGTGATTCATTCATAAGAAAAACGGCTTATTAGCTGTTCCAAGCATAGGCTAGGTTCCCAGGCATAAGTCAAAATAGTGTTATTTTAAGGAAATAATACAACTCTGTGTATTTCGTGTTTTGTAGATAAGAATGGGTGTTAATTGAATATTCAGCATGAATACCTTACTGAGATGTAGGAAAGGGATGATCAGAGATGGCTTCCAGGAGAAGGCGGTTCCTGAAATATGTTTTATAGGACAAATGCAGATTTATTAATTCAAAAAGGGAGAGAGACATTTGAGAGCAAAAGCGGCATATGCAAAATTTGGAGGTATAAGAAAGCTCCCCCTCCCTATATATAATATATATCAATATAGATATGATATGGTGATCTATACATAAATAGTATGGTCATATATTGTTATATGTCATAATTTTAGTTATTTTCCTTGAGGCATCATATCCCATTTGCTCACAAAATTATAATATAAAAATCTGCATGAAATTGTCTAAAACATCTAATTTTCCTCCCCCTCTCTCAATTTCAAATTTAGTAATGGTATATATAAATATATTATTTGCATTGTGAACATTATGAAATCATCTATTTCCAAGAGGAAAGCAATTTTAGACAGTAATGGGAACATACACATATTTCCTATAAACCTGCTAATATTATCTGAAGAAAACCTTTTGACAAGATCATCATATGAAAGATAATATATATTCCTATTGTGATTATTTTCATGCATTTAATAATGTATTTCAATATTGCAAATTATCAGTAAATTGTATTAATAGCCCAGGTAATGTTTTCAGTTCATTCATATACTTTCACACACATATATTTTAGTCCAAAAAAGAGTAAAAAGAGTAATTTAGATTAAAATTCATTTAAGTGAGGGCAACTAAGGTTAAAAAAAATCTGGAATTCTGTTTGGCAAAAACGAATATTTCAAGACCCACATATTATTAAAAAGTCTACTAGGAATGCTGTGTTTCTCATGCAGGCTGATTAGGAATTCCCAGAATTCCTATGCACACCAGTTTGCCACCATGGTATTAAGTTCACTTTGACCGCCATCATAGTAGAAGGCGTTTAGTTTGCAGATTTTCTCTACTTTATCTAGTCTACTAGTACACAGATATTCTGCTGCTCAGTATCAAAGGTGAAATAAAGGAATAATAAAGATGAATAAATATAATGGTTTAGGTTCTGCACTACCCTGGTATTTAATCATGTCTAGACACAACCCTAAGTGTCCTAGAAAAGCCAAAATGAGAACAAGGACATTTAAGTTTTCTGTAGCCTTATTCCCATGGAAGTCAGAAAAGCCAACAACAGAATAAAAAGAGAAGAGTATGGATCTAACTGAAAAAAAAAAATAGATTTAGTGGAGTGACTGGAGGATTTGCAAGGTCAGTGGGAGGTGGAATAGATTTTTTGTTTCTGTTTTAAACAATCAGTTTAAATTATGTCAATTTCAGTTAGGTCAATTTCTTCTAAAAATAATTTCACAAATTATTTTATTATTCTCTAAAGCCAAGTTGATGTAGGTAGACTAAAGATGACATAACCATTCTATAAATATGAACTTTTATAGTTAAAGAGCTCAGAACTTGAGGAAAATAGGCACATACAGTGAATATACACATACATTATATATATGTGTGTGAGTATTGAGTATATTTCTACTTTATAAAAATTTAAAATTTTTGATTTATCTTTATATTACTAATATTATAAAGTGTTAACTTTAGTGTATAAATATGTTTGATGTTATAAAATGATGGAAAGTGAGGGTTAAGTGTACCCTTTCTATCATGTATAGAAAATTTCTATTTAAACTATGATTTTAACTTCCTTGGTTATAATAATTTTGTTTTATATTCTCTTATAGAAATATTATAGCAGCCTATTATCTATTATTCCTTTAGTACCTAGGCTTTCCTCTTGCACATGGAATCATTTTTTAAATACATTTTATTGATTTCAGAGAGGAAAGGAGAGGGCAAGAGAGATAGAAACATCAATGATGAGAGAGAATCATTGATCAGCTGCCTCCTGCAGGCCCCACCCTGGGGATTAAGCCTGCAACCTGCATGGGTGCTGACTGGGAATTGAACCATGACCTCCTGGTTCATAGGTCAATGCTCAACCACTGAGCCACTTCAGTTGGCCAGAATCATTTTTTTTTAATTACTGACATTTCAAGATACTGGCTCTTGATTTTAGTTTAAGGAAGCTCCACACCTCTGACTGGGATAACATAGTTGTTTTCCTTTTGGATCCACACGCCATGCTCCTTAAATGTGCTTCAGCTGCATAGGGAGGCCCATTTGGATTAGGCATAATAGGTTGGAAACCTAGTGATCTGTGACCCAGGTCTAAAGCATTTTTGGCAACACAGTACTCTTTTAGCTAGTATAACTTGGGGGGACAGTAGATGAACTTCCCGAAATATAAACATGGTGAGTGTGTGGGGTGTGGATACACATCTGTATAAATACTGTGTGGTTTCCTTTTGCAATGATGATATTCAGACTTACCACCTGGGAGTGCCAACCATTTTATGATATCTAGACATAAATGATGTCTGTCTTTCAAAAATGTAGCTGATAGTTCTGTAAGAAGCACATTGAAGGTTGTGGTCATATATAAGTAGAAGATAGCTTGGAAATGCAGTGGACTCATAACTGTAACAACAGCCCTGAGAGCTGCTACAATTTCCTTGGTTTGGTTAAGGGTGTGTAGATTTATTTCTTAATTAAACTTGCAATTTGGATTACAGATTTCAGTTAATATCACAAAAATGTTACAAGCTTGGGGATAGTTTATTGCTGTTTAATGTAAATTATTTGTTAATTGCTTCATAACAGCTTTCCGGAAGAAAATACAATACGTTCAGCTACAATTTTATGGCTTTTGCTTAATCCCAAAGCCTAGAGCTTGAAAAATCACTGCATTGTTTTTACTGTTTTCTGTGGATTTTTCATATTTTCTCTTTCTTAATTTAATTCTTTATAGTTGTTTGACAAAAAAAGCACTTAGGGTAATGACTTGTTTATATAATTTTGCTCTAAATGTTAATTCAAAATACCTTGTTTTCTTGCACTGAAATCCTTTCTTTAAATTATAACTCTTGTATTTATCATAATGAATACTTAATCTAATTTTAGTTTTGTAGCAATATGCACTTTTAATAATACTGAAAATAGTGATGCATTTTTTTACGTTTGACTCAGTTTTGTGTTTCTCTTTCAGTGAATTTATTGGATTCACGTACTGTCATGGGGGACTTGGGATGGATTGCTTTTCCAAAAAATGGGGTAAGCCTTTATGAAATTTTATTACAAGTTAAGTAGACACTATGTTAAATGTCACATATGATTGAAAATCCACTGGCCATCTTTGTTGTTAAGAGAGGAGGGATGTGTGTGTGTGTGTGAAAATGGGCAAATCAGCTCTGTCAGGGGAAAGCAGGCAAATAGGGAAGGGATTTCAATGACTGATTAACAAATATGTGACTTTCCTCTCTAAGTATTTCTGTGAAGAAATGTGAAGTTACCTTAAAAATTCAGATCAAAGCAACCAACAAACTTATACAATTGGTTTATCTTCAAAAAACAAGAGTTGAAAAAAATAAAAAGATTTGCTGCTGATTTGCACTTGGCATGGTTGAATAAGAAATAGTGAATATTGAATAGGAAATAAAATCAATTCAAACACTGGGAACAATTTATTTTGTGTTTCTTCACTACATTAAGGAATGTAAATATTATAAGAAACTCCTTTAAAATTTCATTGAGATTAAAAATTTATCAGATTATTAGAAACTATCAGGGAGAACCTGGAATGGATTGCTTTTATTAGATCAGTAACCATTAAAAGGTTTTCTTTTAATTTTTGCATTTTTCTTTATTGAAAATTTTCAGAAAAAAATGTTTCATTGGAACATTGCTACAATAACAGTTGTATTTATTAGTAAATTATTTTACTGGTGGTGTGGTTGGTTGGAGTGTTATCTGATACACCAAAGAGTTATAGGTTCTATTCTTGTTCAGGGCACGTACCTACGTTGTGGGCTCAAACCCTGTCAGGGTACCTATGATAGGGAGACAGCCAATCAATGTTTTTCTCTTATGTTGATGTTTTCCTCTCTCTCTCTTAAAAACAAAACAAAAAACAACCAAAACATATCCTTGGTTGAGGATTTAAAAAATGTCTTTTGGGTAAAAATTAAGCCATTTTCTAACAATATGCATATTAATGTATTTATATGCTAATGATCTTAATAAATAGATTACATTTAAAAATATTTCATAGCTATTAGTAGATGGAAAATGAAAGCATAAGTAAAATATTGTGACATAAAATTATTATTATTACACAAGAAGTATTAACTCAATTATAATAGAAAGATAAAGCATAATGTTGTTAAAATGATTGGAAAAAATACTATTTCTAATACAAAGAGATTGTATATTTTTAAGGAAATCAATGGTGCAAAAATCACATACAAAACTGAGTAAATATCTCCCAAAATTTCTAGTTGCAAGCCAATACAACATCAGATTTACCCCCATAGTTAAACCTTTCCTGAATAACTCTGGAATGGAAACTGGAGAAATACAAAACTAGATTCAAAGAGAATATGACATATTTTCTCAGAGTTTTCAAAAATTAATTTCAACCCAACATTTCATCTATATTATCAGATGGGGCAAATTAAAATATTTTTGGTAGGATAACTTATTTTGTTATTTATGAAATGGAGCATAAATTGTGTGTTATAGTTTTGCATAAAGATTAAATAAGTGGGACTGAGAATAGAGCTTGGCACAATGTTGGCACTCAGTAAACATGTTTTCTTTGATCTTCATTTGAGGGGTTAGCATGTTTTTTATTGAATTTATTGAGGTTACATGGTTAATAAGGTTATATAGGATTAAAGTGTACAATTCTGTAATCCATCATCTGTATACTGTATTGTGTGCGTATTACCCCAAGTCATGTTTCTTCCCATCACCATTTATCCCCCCTTTACCCTCTCCTGTCTCCCCCACCTCCATTTCCCTGTAGTAATGACCATACTGTTGTATGTCTATGGTCATTACCACAGGGAAAGGGGGGTGAGATTATGAGGGTTTTTGTTTGTTTTGTTTTTTCTTAATCCCTTCACCTTTGACCTTCTATTCCATTTCTATCTCATACTGAGATCCACCTACCAGTTCATCAGGTTTTTGTTTGTTTTATCTCTAAGTATATTTACGTGAATCCGTTGTCAGCAGTTAAAGATTGGGAAAGTTCATTTAAAGTGAATTTCGAGCTTTTCTGTTTAGTTGGAAGTTTCAGAAAACGAGCATTAGCAGCCTGTTATAATCTCCACAGCCCAGAGCTGAGGAGAGGCTGCTTTCTAAGAGAGTAAGCAATTTCTCCTGTTTGATTCAATTTCTGCCTGGTGCTCTTCACCCATTTAAGTTGCTGTCTGTAATGCTGGCATATTTGTGGAGGCAATTTTTAGTATTTCACACGCATCAGGATTTTCTGTTGTTTTAGGAGGGACTTTTTTTTTTAATTCCACTTATTGTTACATGTTGAGATAGAGTCCTTCTAGTTTTTATTTTTATTGTTTTGACTACTTCACCTGAGTTAGGACACATCATTTAAATTTGGGCTTTAGCATGTGCTTTTTAACCATAGTAGGTGAGATGGTGTGTGTGTGTGTGTGTGTGTGTGTGTGTGTGTGTGTGTGTGTGTCTGCCTGCCTCATGGTAAGAAGTTGAACTCTACCCTTTTTTTTTATTCTGGACATATCTAGAAGTACTATGTTATAACAAAGTTTAATTTTATGCAAATTTAAGGCATTTATTCATTCAACAGATATGTAGCAGGCACTTGGTAAGAGCCAGTTTCTGTTCCAGGCACTGGAGTGACAACAATGAAGAAAACACAAAATTTCCTGGCCTTCTGGAGCTTGAGGCAGCATTATTTTGAAAAGGAGTAATCATAATGTTAGAATAATGTTGTAGATGAAGTTCTCTGGAGGCTTTTTTCTCTACATACTAGAGGCCCAGTGCATGAAATGCATGCACTCAGGGGAGGGGGGATTCCTCAGCCCAGCCTGAACCCTCTTGCAGTCAGGGAGCCCTCAGGGGATGTCCAACTGACAGCTTAGGCCCATTCCCTGGGGTGAGAGGGCCTAATTGTCCTTCAGACATCCTTAGCACTGTTGTGGCAGTGGGAGAGGCTCCCGCCACTGTCAATGTGCTTGCCAGCGGTGAGCCAAGCTCAGGGCTTCTGGCTGAGTGGCTCTCCCACTGTGCGAGTGCACAGACCATCAGGGGGCAGCTTCTGCATTGAGCATTTGCCCCCTGGTGGTCAGTGCATATCATAGCGACCGGATGTTCCACCGTTCACAGTTGATTTTCATATTAGCCTTTTATTATACACTAGAGGCCCGGTGCACAAAAATTTGTGCACTCGGGGGTGGGGGGATGGGGGGGTCTCTCAGCCTGGCCTGTGCCCTCTCGCAGTCTGGGACCCCTCGGGAGATAACGACCTGGTGGCTTAGGCCTGCTCCCGGGTGGCAGAGGGCAGGCCCAATAT